CTGCTCCTCTTACATATGAGGTATAGACTGGCTAATTATTCATGAGGTAACGAATGCTCCTCTTACATATGAGGTACAGACTGCTCCTCTAACATATGAGGCACAGACTGCTCCTCTTACATATGAGGTACAGACTGCTCCTCTTACATATGAGGTACAGACTGCTCCTCTTACATATGAGGTACAGACTGCTCCTCTTACATATGAGGTACAGACTGCTCCTCTTACATATGAGGTACAGACTGCTCCTCTTACATATGAGGCACAGACTGCTCCTCTTACATATGAGGTACAGACTGCTCCTCTTACATATGAGGCACAGACTAACTCTCTTATACATGAGTTTCATACGTGCTTTCTTACACACGAGGTTCAGACTGATCATCTTACATATGAGATACAGATCGGGTCTCCTATACATGAGGTATTGACTGACTCTCTCATATACGAGGTACAGACTGCACCTCTTACATATGAGGTACAGTCTTCTCTTGCATATGAGGTTCAGAGTGACTCTTACATACGAGGTACAGACTGTTTCTCTTACATATGAGGTACAGACTGACTTTTACATATGATGTACAAACTGCTTCTCTTACATATGTGGTACATACTGACTCTCTTGCATTGAGGCACAGGTTGGCCCTCTTTCATATAAGGTACAGACTGGTCCCCTTACATATAAGGTACAGACTGGTCCTCTTACATATAAGGTACAGACTGGTCCTCTTACATATGAGGTACAGACTGGTCCTCTTACATATGAGATACAGACTGGCCCCCTTACATATGAGGTACAGACTGGCCCCCTTACATATGAGGTACAGACTGGCCCCCTTACATATGAGGTACAGACTGGCCCCCTTACATATGAGGTACAGACTGGCCCCCTTACATATGAGGTACAGACTGGCCCCCTTACATATGAGGTACAGACTGGTCCTCTTACATATGAGGTACAGACTGGCCCCCTTACATATGAGGTACAGACTGGTCCTCTTACATATGAGGTACAGACTGGCCCCCTTACATATGAGGTACAGACTGGCCCCCTTACATATGAGGTACAGACTGGTCCTCTTACATATGAGGTACAGACTGGCCCCCTTACATATGAGGTACAGACTGGTCCTCTTACATATGAGGTACAGACTGGCCCCCTTACATATGAGGTACAGACTGGCCCCCTTACATATGAGGTACAGACTGGCCCCCTTACATATGAGGGACTCGCAACATCTTCCTTCAAAAGACCAAGAGCCACGAGGGCGTCTGGCCAACAACAATACCCCAGACATTACAAATCATGGAAGCAGCTCACTCAACAAACCTCTATTGTAAGCTACTGAGCGTAATGAGCTACGTCGCCGCGCAGCCCCACGAACGTGCCGGACGCCAAGCAAAATAAACAAGATGTGGAAAGTTAGAAGAATAACTTTTTGTTTCATGCTTCCCCCTTCCTTGGTTAAAGATGGAAGCGCTCAACAACAACACCGAATGCGAGACTGAGGCAGGAAAATATATATGTCATAATAACAAAGGAAAGGGGAAGAAAGATCGTAACTAAGGAAGCAGAACAATTGTCATCAATAAGGATGAAGGCTACCAGTAGATGGCGGCACTCTCTAAAGCTTGGCTCCCGCGTTTGGAAACTAGGTCAACGCTCTGGGAGCTGTGGCCACGCTTTGGGAGCTGTGGCCACGCTCTGGGAGCTGTGGCCACGCTCTGGGAGCTGTGGCCACGCTCTGGGAGCTGTGGCCACGCTCTGGGAGCTGTGGCTACGCTCTGGGAGCTGTGGCCACGCTCTGGGAGCTGTGGCCACGCTCTGGGAGCTGTGGCTACGCTCTGGGAGCTGTGGCCACGCTCTGGGAGCTGTGGCCACGCTTTGGGAGCTGTGGCCATGCTCTGGGAGCTGTGGCCACGCTCTGGGAGCTGTGGCCACGCTCTGGAGATGGACCACGCTCTGAGCGCTGGGATCAAGCTCTAGAAGCTTAGGTAACGCTCTGTAACCCATAGCTACGCTCTGGGAGCTACGCCCACACTCTGGGAGCTAAGGCCACGCTCTGAGAGCTGGAGCCACGCTCTGGAAGCTGGAACAACGTTCTGGGAGCTGAGGCCATGCCCTGGGAGCTGGGACCACGCTCTGGGAGCTGGGACCACGCTCTGGAAACTGGGGCAGGCTCTAGGAGCTGTAGCCAACCTCTGGGAGCTGTGGCAACGCTCTGGGAGCTGGGACCGCGCTCTGAGAGGTGGGACTAAGCTATAGAAACTTGGGCCCCGCTCTGGGAGCTGAGACTCACTCTGGGAGCTGAAGCCACGCTCTTGGAACTTAGTCCACTCTCTGGGAGCTGAGGCCACGTTCTGGGAGCTGGGTCCTCGCTCAGGGCGCTGAGATCACGTTCTGGGAGCTACGGCCATGCTCTTGGAACTGAATCCACGCTCAAGGAGCTGGGGCCCACTCTCTGGTAGTGGGGGCCCACTCTCTGGGAGCTAGGACCACCCTTTGGGAGCTGAGGCCATGCTCTGGGAGTTGGGGCAACACTGGGAGCTGAGGCCACGCTCTGGGAGCTGAGGCCACGCTCTGGGAGCTGGGACCACGCTCTGGGAGCTGGGACCACGCTCTGGGAGCTGGGACCACGCTCTGGGAGCTAGGATCACACTCTGAGAGCTGGGACCACGCTCTGGAAGCTGGGGCTACGCTCTGGAAATTAGGAACACGCTATGAGAGCTGGGACCATGCTCTGGGAGCTGGGTCCATGCTCTAGAAGCTGGGACCAAATTCTGGGAGTTGAGACCAAGCTCTGGGAGCTGGGGCCACGCTCTGGGAGCAGGAATCACTCTCTGGAAGCGTTGACCACGCTCTGGATCCTGGGAACAGGCTCAGGGAGCTAGGACCACACTCCTAGACCTGAGGCAACGCTCTGGAAGCATAGTCCACGCTCAGAGAGCTGGGGCCACGCTCTGTGTCTAGGGAATACGCTCTGGGAGCTATGACCACGCTCTGTGAGCTGGGCCCACGCTCTGGGAGCAAAGGTCACGCTCTGAGAACAGAGGCCACGCTCTCGGAGCTGGGGCTATGCTCTGGTAGCTGGAACCACGTTTAGGCAGCTGGGACCACTCTCTAGGAGATGGGACTACACTCTGGGAGCTGTAGTTCCCAGCCATGCTCTGGGGACCACGCTCTGAGAGCGTGGTTTCTGGGAGCTAGGTCCACACTCTGGAAGCTGGGGCCAAATTCTGGGAGCTGAGACCACGCTTTGGGAGCTGGGGCCACGCTCTGGGAGCTGGGGCCGTGCTCAGGAAACTAGTACCATGCTCGGAGAGCTGGGACCACGCTCTGAGAGCTGAGGCTACGCTTTGGAGCTGGGACCACGTTCGTTCTGAGAGCTGGGACCATGCTCTGCGAGCTGGGACTACGCTCTGGGAGCTGTAGTTCCAGCCATGCTCTGGGAGCTTTGCCTCTGGGAGCTGGGTCACGATCTGGAGCTAGGCCCACGCTCTGGGGACCATGCTCTGGCTCTGGGACCACGCTCTGGAAGCAGGGATCATGTTCTGGGAGCTTCGACCACGCTCTAGGTTCTGGGAATACGCTCTGGGATCTGGGGCCACGCTCTGGAAGCAACGTCCACGCTCTGGGAACTTTGGCCACGTTCTAGGTACTGGGAACACGCTCTGGGAGCTGGGACCACGTTCTGGGACCTGGGGCCACGCTCTGGAAGCAAAGTCTACGCTCAGGAAGCTGTTGCCATGTTCTGGTAACTGAGTCCACGCTCTGGGAGCTGCGGCCACGCTCATGGAGCTTAGACAACCCTCTGGGAGCTGGGTCTCTCTCTTGGAGATGAAGTCACGCTCTGGGAGCTGTGGCCACGTTCTGGGAGCTGTAGCTACGCTAAGGGAGCTGGTGCCACGCTCTGGGAGCTGTGGCCACGCTCTGGGAGCTGCGGGCCACGCTCTGGGAGCTGTGGCCACGCTCTGGGAGCTGGGGGCCACGCTCTGGGAGCTGGGGCCACGCTCTGGGAGCTGGGGCCATGCTCTGCGAGCTGTAGCGACGCTAAGGGAGCTGAGGGTCACGCTCTGGGAACTAGGAGTACTCTCTGGGAGCTGGGAGCTATGCTCTGGGAGCTGGGACTATGGTTTGGGAACTGGAGCCACGCTCTGGAAGCTAGGGCCATGCTCTGGATGCTGAGACCACAATCTGGGAGCCGAGGCCATGCTCTGGAAGCTGGGACCTTGCTCTAGAAGCTGGGGCCACGTTCTGGGAGCTGAGGCCACGCTCCGAGAGCTTTAGCTATACTATGGTACCATGGGCCACGCTCTGGGAGCATGGGCCTTGCTCTGGAAGCTACGACCACTCTCTGGGAGCTTAAGCCACGCTCTGGGAGCTTGGGCTACGTTTCGAAGCTGGTGCCACGCTCTGGGAGCTGGAGCCATGCTCTAGGAGCTAAGGCCTCGCTCTGGGAGCTAGAGCGACGTTATGGGAGCTGGTGCCACGCTCTGGGAGCTGAGGCCTCGCTCTGGGAGCTGGAGCGACGTTGTGGGAGCTGGGGCCATCATAACCACCTCCACACCACCAGCATCTCCACAACCACCATCACCACCACCACTACCTCCACTTCCGCCACCAGCACCTCCACAACACTACCACCTCGACCAGACGCCGCCACCGCCGCCCCACGCCACAGCACGCTGCCACAAGCACCTCCATGACCACTACCACTACCACCACCACCTCCACAACCACCCCCACCCCACACCACAAGACGCCGCCCCACACCACAAGACGCCGCCCCACACCACAAGACGCCGCCCCACACCACAAGACGCCGCCCCACACCACAAGACGCCGCCCCACACCACAAGACGCCGTCCCACGCCACAGGACGCCGCCCCACACCACAGGACGCCGTCCCACACCACAGGACGCCGCCCCACGCCACAGGACGCCGCCCCACGCCACAGGACGCCGCCCCACGCCACAGGACGCCGTCCCACGCCACAGGATGCCGCCCCACGCCACAGGACGCCGCCCCACGCCACAGGACGCCGCCCCACACCACAAGACGCCGTCCCACACCACAGGACGCCGCCCCATGGCACAGGACACCGCCCCACGCCACAGGACGCCGCCCCACACCACAGGACGCCGCCCCACGCCACAGGACGCCGCCCCATGCCACAGGACACCGCCCCACACCACAAGACGCCGTCCCACACCACAGGACGCCGCCCCATGGCACAGGACACCGCCCCACGCCACAGGACGCCGCCCCACGCCACAGGACGCCGCCCCACATCACAAGACGCCGTCCCACGCCACAGGACGCCGCCCCACACCACAAGACGCCGTCCCACACCACAGGACGCCGCCCCACGCCACAGGACGCCGTCCCACACCACAGGACGCCGCCCCACGCCACAGGACGCCGTCCCACACCACAGGACGCCGCCCCACACCACAGGACGCCGTCCCACGCCACAGGATGCCGCCCCACACCACAGGACGCCGCCCCACGCCACACGACGCCGCCCCACACCACAAGACGCCGTCCCACACCACAGGACGCCGCCCCATGGCACAGGACACCGCCCCACGCCACAGGACGCCGCCCCACACCACAAGACGCCGTCCCAGACCACAGGACGCCGCCCCATGGCACAGGACACCGCCTCACACCACAGGACGCCGCCCCACACCACAGGACGCCGCCCCATGGCACAGGACGCCGCCCCACGCCACAGGACGCCGCCCCACACCACAAGACGCCGTCCCACACCACAGGACGCCGCCCCACACCACAGGACGCCGCCCCACGCCACAGGACGCCGCCCCACGCCACAGGACGCCGCCCCACGCCACAAGACGCCGTCCCACACCACAGGACGCCGCCCCACGCCACAGGACACCGCCTCACGCCACAGGACGCCGCCCCACACCACAGGACGCCGCCCCCCACGCCACAGGACGCCGCCCCACACCACAAGACGCCGTCCCAAGCCACAGGACGCCGCCCCACGCCACAGGACACCGCCCCACACCACAAGACGCCGTCCCACACCACAGGACGCCGTCCCACGCCACAGGACGCCGCCCCACACCACAAGACGCCGTCCCACACCACAGGACGCCGCCCCACGCCACAGGACGCCGCCCCACGCCACAGGACGCCGCCCCACGCCACAAGACGCCGTCCCACACCACAGGACGCCGCCCCACGCCACAGGACACCGCCTCACGCCACAGGACGCCGCCCCACACCACAGGACGCCGCCCCCCACGCCACAGGACGCCGCCCCACACCACAAGACGCCGTCCCACGCCACAGGACGCCGCCCCACGCCACAGGACACCGCCCCACACCACAAGACGCCGTCCCACACCACAGGACGCCGTCCCACGCCACAGGACGCCGCCCCACACCACAAGACGCCGTCCCACACCACAGGACGCCGCCCCACGCCACAAGACGCCGTCCCACACGACAGGACCCCGCCCCACGCCACAGGACACCGCCTCACGCCACAGGACGCCGCCCCACACCACAGGACGCCGCCCCACGCCACAGGACGCCGCCCCACGCCACAGGACGCCGCCCCACGCCACAGGACGCCGCCCCACACCACAGGACGCCGCCCCACACCACAAGACGCCGTCCCACACCACAGGACGCCGCCCCACGGCACAGGACACCGCCCCACGCCACAGGACGCCGCCCCACGCCACAGGACGCCGCCCCACGCCACAGGACGCCGCCCCACACCACAAGACGCCGTCCCACACCACAGGACGCCGCCCCACGGCACAGGACACCGCCCCACGCCACAGGACGCCGCCCCACGCCACAGGACGCCGTCCCACACCACAGGACGTCGCCCCACGCCACAGGACACCGCCCCACACCACAAGACGCCGTCCCTCACCACAGGACGCCGCCCCACACCACAAGACGCCGTCCCACACCACAGGACGCCGCCCCACGCCACAGGACGCCGCCCCACACCACAAGACGCCGTCCCACACCACAGGACGCCGCCCCACGGCACAGGACACCGCCCCACGCCACAGGACGCCGCCCCACGCCACAGGACGCCGTCCCACACCACAGGACGCCGCCCCACGCCACAGGACGCCGCCCCACACCACAAGACGCCGTCCCACACCACAGGACGCCGCCCCACACCACAAGACGCCGTCCCACACCACAGGACACCGCCCCACACCACAGGACGCCGCCCCACGCCACAGGACGCCGCCCCACGGCACAGGACACCGCCCCACGCCACAGGATGCCGCCCCACGCCACAGGACGCCGCCCCACGCCACAGGACGCCGCCCCACACCACAGGACGCCGTCCCACACCACAGGACGCCGCCCCATGGCACAGGACACCGCCCCACGCCACAGGACGCCGCCCCACACCACAGGACGCCGCCCCACGCCACAGGACGCCGCCCCACACCACAAGACGCCGTCCCACACCACAGGACGCCGCCTCACGCCACAGGACGCCGCCCCACACCACAAGACGCCGTCCCACACCACAGGACGCCGCCCCACGCCACAAGACGCCGTCCCACACCACAGGAAGCCGCCCCACGCCACAGGACACCGCCTCACGCCACAGGACGCCGCCCCACACCACAGGACGCCGCCCCACGCCACAGGACGCCGCCCCACGCCACAGGACACCGCCTCACGCCACAGGACGCCGTCCCACACCACAGGACGCCGCCCCACACCACAGGACGCCGCCCCACGCCACAGGACGCCGCCCCACGCCACAGGACGCCGCCCCACGCCACAAGACGCCGTCCCACGCCAAAGGACGCCGCCCCACACCACAGGATGCCGCCCCACGCCACAAGACGCCGTCCCACAGCACAGGACGCCGCCCCACGCCACAGGACACCGCCTCACGCCACAGGACGCCGCCCCACACCACAGGACGCCGCCCCACGCCACAGGACGCCGCCCCACGCCACAGGACGCCGTCCCACGCCACAGGACACCGCCCCGCACCACAGGACGCCACCCCACACCACAAGACGCCGTCCCACACCACAAGACGCCGCCCCACACCACAGGACGCCGCCCCACACCACAAGACGCCGTCCCACACCACAGGACGCCGCCCCACGCCACAGGACACCGCCTCACGCCACAGGACGCCGTCCCACACCACAGGACGCCGCCCCACACCACAGGACGCCGCCCCACGCCACAGGACGCCGCCCCACGCCACAGGACGCCGCCCCACGCCACAAGACGCCGTCCCACGCCACAGGACGCCGCCCCACACCACAGGATGCCGCCCCACGCCACAAGACGCCGCCCCACGCCACAGGACGCCGCCCCACGCCACAGGACGCCGCCCCACGCCACAAGACGCCGTCCCACACCACAGGACGCCGCCCCACGCCACAGGACACCGCCGCACGCCACAGGACGCCGCCCCACACCACAGGACGCCGCCCCACGCCACAGGACGCCGCCCCACACCACAAGACGCCGTCCCACGCCACAGGACGCCGCCCCACGCCACAGGACACCGCCCCACACCACAAGACGCCGTCCCACACCACAGGACGCCGCCCCACGCCACAGGACGCCGCCCCACACCACAAGACGCCGTCCCACACCACAGGACGCCGCCCCACGCCACAAGACGCCGTCCCACACCACAGGACGCCGCCCCACGCCACAGGACTCCGCCTCACGCCACAGGACGCCGCCCCACACCACAGGACGCCGCCCCACGCCACAGGACGCCGCCCCACGCCACAGGACGCCGCCCCACGCCACAGGACGCCGCCCCGCACCACAGGACGCCACCCCACACCACAAGACGCCGTCCCACACCACAAGACGCCGCCCCACACCACAGGACGCCGCCCCACACCACAAGACGCCGTCCCACACCACAGGACGCCGCCCCACGGCACAAGACACCGCCCCACGCCACAGGACACCGCCCCACACCACAAGACGCCGTCCCACACCACAAGACGCCGCCCCACACCACAGGACGCCTCCCCACACCACAAGACGCCGTCCCACACCACAGGACGCCGCCCCACGGCACAGGACACCGCCCCACGCCACAGGACGCCGCCCCACACCACAGGATGCCGCCCCACGCCACAAGACGCCGCCCCACGCCACAGGACGCCGCCCCACGCCACAGGACGCCGCCCCACGCCACAGGACGCCACCACCGCCCACCACCGCCCACCACCGCCATGTTTCCAAGCGTTGCGCCGTAAATCAAGGCGTGTGACAACAAAAGGTAACCAGCAATGCCTCCTGTTGCTCTATACTGTTGTTGTTGTGCCTGTTCTCAGAGGTTGTAGAGACAGCTGGACGTGAAAAGAATAACAAGTGAGGAGCAGCGAGGGCTGGAGAGGCCGCTTATTGTCATTAGAGGATATTATCACAGTAGAACTTAAAGAAAATATGGATTAACTAATAAAGAAACAATGCCAAAGCGTGCATGAAGTAGAGGAGGAGAGAAAGCCAAGGAAGACACAGGAACACTGCAAGGAGAAGCAGCTGTCTGGGAAGGCAACGCTAACAGTTCTGGAATCGGTAGAAATAATTATCTTTGACGACCTACTGGAAAAACTTGCCAGAGTGAAGAACTCCTCCTCATAACGTGAGAGCAAGTGCTAAACCTGAAGGAAATAAATCACAAGAGAGAGAGGTCAGTGTGAATGGGTTACAGAGCAGAATATAAACGATGGAAGAGGAAGGGAAGGCATCAAAAGAAGTGAGTAGGATAAAAGAGAATAGAACCAAACAATTAAAGAATGTCAATGATTTAGGGAGAAAAATAACAAAAAAATACTTGGCTGAAGCAGCTAATAGTTAAAAGGTACAGAGCTAAGGAAACAATGCTAGGGGCTGTAAAAAGCACTCAAGTCGTGAAGTAAAAAAGGCAAGAGTTTGAGAGGAAGAGATCGGTGGGGACCCCGAACACGAGACGTGTGGCTAATGAGTTCAAGGATCAAAATGAAATAACAAAATATCTACATAAAGTTTCGGGCAGAACTGCAACAATGGAATACTAATGTAGGTTAGGTTAGGCAGGTTTCAAGATTGGAAGAAGCTGATCGGTGAAAGTTATTGTTATATATACTAGCAGAAAAGAGACATTTATGGGGTAAGAAAAAGTACCCGCAGTGTTTATTAGCGGCAACACTGTCTAAGGAGCATGGGGAGACAGCAAAGAGAATCTGGTAACAAAACTAAATGAAAAATGCAAGGAGACCAGAAAATGGCACGAGAAGAAGCAAAGATGACAGCTGAGAGTACTACAGAGGGAAATTATGGGGCTGACCAGCTTAATGGGGCACCCATACAAGCAAGCAGGCACAGGTGACTAGATCCTCATACCCCACTTCTCTTATCAGACACGGAAATGCATCAGCATGAACAACTGCCGTTTGGGAAAAAAAGTCGCCCAGTTGTAAAGTGTAACATAAAACATATATAAACAATTGCACATGGAACTACAAATAATGACAGAATTTCAGGAGAAAGATAGATCAACCAAACATTACCATGTTCACAGAAAAGAAACTGATAAGTGTTTCAGGACACGCAATCTTCCCCTGAGGATATCTGGAAGTAAGGAAAGATAAGATGAACAAAGGTGAAGTAGTTGCTTCAGCTACACTGAACATTGAAGAATTAATATTATCAGAGAAATCCGACCCAGAGGAGTACTTACTAGGAATAGCAACAGTGGGAGACATGAAGATAGTCTTAGTGGTGATTTACAATTCCTCGCCATAAAATAGACACCCTTAGGGAAGAATATGACAAATGCAAAGATAATTGGCTAAAGGTAATGGGAAAAGCAACAGCAGTGGTAAGGGGAGCAAGTGCAAAAATTCTAATTCTAAGGAACTTTAATCCCAAGAAAATAGACTGTATAAACAACTCAACGACAACTCTACACCCAATAAGGTCTCAACACTCCCACGGGAGTATTGAGAGAGCGTATAACTGGTAGACATGGTCGACCAACTCTTCTACATATTACTCAATTAACTAGAGAGAGGAGAGGACCCGCTGGCAGAACCTGACCTGTTGATTTTTCAAAACGAAGCTGATGCTGAAAAAAATGTGTTTGAGACGACTCTCCGAGATTTAGGAGCTGAAGGTGTTAGACAAAGAAAACTGTTAGGGGCAGTAGTAGGCATCCATCAGCCTCAGGAGACTATGGACTTGTGCCTTGGTTGTCGCTCTGGAGTGGCCTCTCCAAGGCGCAAAGCAAGGTGCAGGTTGATACGGTGGAGAAGCTGTCAC